TAAATAATGCATAATAATAATAATAATAATAATAATAATAATAATAATAATAATAATAATAATAATAATTAATACAGTAACCCGGCCGCCTGTCTTAATAAAGGGGAGCGAACGAAAAAATTCATATTATTGCACGTGGTTTCACCCTGAAAATAGAGATTTATTTTTTTACACTCAGGGACGGTGGCGGTTGTTGCTGGTTTTGGTGGTGGGGCACAAGCCTCTTTTGCGAGTCTCTAATGTGCGGTGTAAATACAGAGCGGAGGGGAAAGCGCAGAGGAGGCTGATTTTGCAGGTTTGCACTTCAGAAAGGAGAGAAGTAAAAAAGAAGAGAGAGATTGAGAGAGAGAGAGAGAGAGAGAGAAGTCTCCCAGGCAGCCTGATCCCATTAGCTCCGTCCTTGGGTTGCATATTTATACGGTCTAGGAGGTGAACAGATGGACTATCAATTTAATTCCATCTTCAACACCATCAGAGATTGATTTTCTACTCGCTTTTAATTTTGCCATAATTAATTAGATCATTACAACTGTTTGCTATTGATCTCCCTACTTAAACCTCAGATGCAAAGGGACTTCAGCAGACCCTTTAAAAACACAGAAGGGAAAAGGAACACCGGGTATATATTCACAATCAAATCCACTATATATACACAATGAACCTGCCTATATTATGGATATATATAACCCTGCTCGTATATATGTACTAGACCTGGTGCCTGGTAGGGGTGTGTGCATATGTATGTATACATGTATGTGTGTGTGTGTGCATATCTATATGTATCTCTCTCTCTCTCTCTGCCTAGATCTGTATACATGCGCGCGCGCACTTCCACGTCCCTAGCTCGTGGATATTGCATTTTATGACTCGATCAGAAATGGCAAAAGAAAATCATAGCAGCAAACCTTAGTTACCAAATGTAACAAGGAATCCCCCCGCTCCACCCCACCCTGGCTCTTAGCAGCAGTTAGACAGCAAACGAGTCAGCGCTGGCACACAGCAAGGTTTGTCACATAAACCTCAAGTAGGGTTCTGTTTTTCACAATGAAATTAAAAATCCCAGCTCTAGATGTAATTTGAAAGAACCAAACTGCACAATTGTGCGCCTAGCCCGTGATCAGCCGGTCAGGAGCCCCGAGGAAATTCTCCTGCACAGAAGGGGTTGTTTGAAGCTTTGTTTGCAAATCATTAAAAAAAAAAAAAAAAAAAAGCCGTCAATGGGAAAGGAAGATTTCCCGTCAGGTCATGGTCTGGGGGCAGGAGGTGGGTGTGAAGTAGCTAAATGGAGCCAAATCATTAGCTCCCAGTGTAAACCTCGCAATCCCTGTTCCGAGCTCCAGATCCTAGCGCTGGGACCTGGACTCTCCAATGCCGCCCCCCCCCCCAAACCAATGCACTAACTCACAACACGCACAGCACACCCAAGGCGCACAACACACACACGCGAGAACTGCTAGCTCCTCACACCCCACACTTCCACTGGCAAGGCGCAAACAACCTTCAGCACACGCGGGAAACCCAGCACACGCACCAAGCAGCCCACGGGAAAAGCGTCCGAGGGGAGATGGATACAATGCCGTTAGCCTTCTCCAGGCGGGACAAAACTCGTGCTAGGAAAAGTAGAAGTTTCAAAAGTAAAATTATATACGGGGTAGGGCGGGGGTTCAGTTTGCAACAGATGCAGCCAGCTGATCTGGGAAGGGGAGAGCGAGCGAGAGTAAATACGAGGAGCCCAGGCTGAGCACACACGCGCGCACACACACACTCACACACACACACACACAATGCGCATGTCACACAAACAGTGCATGCATGTCACACACACACAGAGTGAATGCATGCCAGCCAGACACAATTCATGCATTTCACACACACACACACTGCATGTCACAGACACACACAGAGTGCATGCATGTCACACATACACAGTGAGCAAGCATGCCAGCCACTCACAATGCATGCATTTCCTCTCTCTCTCTCTCTCTCTCTCTCTCACACACACACACACACACACACACACACACACACACACACACACACACACACACACACACACACACACAGAGTGCGTGCGTGCGTGTATGTCTCTCACACCCATCTGGCCGTTCTATTGCGGGTTGCCAGCAAAGCACTCACTAGAAACAAGGTGAGAAACCAAGTCTGACGTGGTCCGAAGCGCGGACGCTGTAGGAAGTGTGCCGGGGAAGGGGTATTTAGCAGGTTGGATGGAAATGTTGGGGGACCTGGTGGAGGAGAGGAGGCCCAGGCGGTGAGGCAGCTCAGCTGCCTCCTGCCAAGGGAGGGAGTTGGGGTGACTGGCTCATTCCCTCCCTCCTGAATATTCAGGGCTTGCCCCCTCACTGCACCCTCCCTCCCCCGCCCCCTTACCTGCTCTCCCTGAGCTCTGAGCCATGGCTCCTTTGCCTAATGGTCCGTCTCCCCGGGACGGCTGTAGCCCAGGAGATCGGCCGCGGCCTTGGCTTGCTGCGTCTCCTCCCCGCTTGGGTGTCCCGCTTCCCCCCGCGGACTCGCAGGATCTAGGCGCAACCACCCAAAACTAAACGGTTTAGATAAGAGCGCGCACCCCGCCGCCCCGCGCACACACAGAAAGAGCCAGCCCCGGAGAGCGAGCCGCCGCTCTACTGAGCCGGGACAGGCGCGAAGGAGGGGGAAATAAATAACAATCGACGCCAATGCAGCGCTGCTGCTTCTCAAAGTGCAGCAGGACTCACCTGACCCCAGCATCGGGGCTGGGCAGCCGCGGGGCTGGGCAGGGACAGGGGCGCGAGATGAGGCAGGGCTGCGGAGGAACTTCCTGGAAGTTTACAGGGAGGCTGCTGGGGGTGCTGGGCTAGCGGGGGAGGGGAGAGAACTGGGTCTAAGCGAAGGGAATGCAGAGTGGTGCCAGGCAGGTTTTCCAGCCGGAGAGAAAGGGGGTGGGGAGGCTGGGAAGTGGACAAGGAGGACGGGGTTCAATGCAGCTCGTCTAAACAGATGGCCAACTCTGGAGGTTGGCCTGAGGGGCTACGCTGCCCCTTCAGTCTCCAGACATACCGGGGCTCACTCGTTTAGAGGAAGAAGCAGTTTTGTAAAGTCTCTGTCTGTTATGATGAAGTTTTGGCTGTGTGTTTCAGTGAGACGTTTTAATCTATCTATCTATGATTGTCACATTTTGGAAGCCCTACTAAAGACCTCACGGTTTCAAAGCGTAAGAGCTGTGAAGAAAAATCCTCAGTGGTAAAGACACCCCTGAGCGAATATTTTTCTTTCTCTCTTTCGCTTCCCCCCTCCATCCCTGCATTGATTGAAAATCCCTCTCAGCTCCAACAAGGAGTCCCAGGAAAAATGAACCATTCTCCTATCGATTCTTCATTAAAATTGCATTTCTGCATTTGCTAAATTGGTTTTAAAAAGCTTCCCCTGATATTATTGTCTTGTCAGGGCCGACAGTACTGGGCAAACAGTATTTAAAAGCTTGGGATTTTTTTCCCTCCAAAATGAGGCTGAGTTGTTGTTTTTTCCCTAACGTCTTTAGGAAAATGTTAACACCAGATACAGGGGGAACAATGCAGCGAAGTAGATGATTGTATAAAATACAGGGCTGGAATGAGACGTTGGTTTCATCACATTTAAAAATCATCGATTGTAGCTTCAAGCAAAGAAAAAAGTTTCCTTTTCAATATTAAAATAGGAGACAATAAAAAGTCAGTGATCGCAGGAATGATTATTTTCCGAAGTCATCATCACAAAGGCTACTTTGTGTCATTGTCTAGTGAAATTCACCAGATCCCCTCACCCGGGCAGAATCCTGCTCCGAGCAAAGCAGAACCGCTGCTTTGAAACATACCTCCACGGGGACATATTTAAATAATTCC